AGCAGCAACATCATCCTACACTCCCAAATTTGAAAAACTGGCCAATGAAATGCAGTGCCAAACATCACACGAACTTCCCACTTGAGTAAAAATAATTGTACTTATAAAACTACATATTTTTGATCGCGTGGTTTCTTGTATCATTAAACGTGTTGTTTTGTGTATTATTTGGTGTCCATATCTTATTTGTCCAGAGAAAAGAAAATTTGGCTTTGTTAATTGGTTGGTGCCCACCACGATCTCATAAACTCTAAAATGTAACCGTAAGCACAAAAAGGTTGGGGACCACTGACCTACAGAATCACATGGAATTATAACCTAGAAGACGATTAATTGATGTATTTTATTTGTTGTATATCTTAGACAAATGATATATGCAGTCTCGTAAGCTATTTTATTTGTTGTATATCTTAGACAATGATGTATGCAGTCTCGTAAGATTTCGTAGCCTGAACTCATACCCGTTCACTAAATGTTTGTCGTGATTTCTCATGTCACATTTTATCAACCTCTACACAGACATCATTAGTCAGAATTTGAGAAGTTTGTAATGTGGACAGACAGTGGCTGTCTGTGCAGGTGGAGAGACTCTCAAGTTGTGCCATAAGGCATTCTGTTTTACTTGTGTATGCGTTATTACCGTTTGGTTCTCAGGGTCATTATTTATAGCGTATTGGCCGTGTTGCAGCTTTTTGGATCGAAAGAAAGTATTGCCACCCCATCCAAATGTTGTGCAGATGTACTGCGCATTTGCCGACCACGTGCCTATGTTGCCGGGGTCCCTGTGCCTGTACCCAGATGCTCTCCCTGCTCGTATCAACCCAGCAGGCTACGGGAGGAACATGAGTCTGTTCCTGCTTATGAAGAGGTGCGGCACATGTGAAATGTTGTCTGACATTTGTATTTCGTTGTTTCAAAGTTCTCGGCTTAGAGGTTATACCATTTATGATGCATGTTACTGCGTCTTTATTTGACTAAGAAGCTTCTTTGCTGTATTGACAGTTTTTCTTTTGAGAGATTTGCTATCTGAGTAGTTTTAGTAGAACATAAAAGTGCCTAATACATGTCATTGGTTTAGTAATGTAATATTTTGGTAGTCATATATGTGGTGTGAGAAATTTAATTTATGAAGAAATCTAAATCTTGGATGAATTTCTTTTTCAAAACATGTCAAAAATACGTTTATTAACAATTTTAATTATCTCTTCAGTTTCTTGAATTTAGGTAATTTAGTCGCAGACTCCATGTGCTGGTTTAATATCTCGGTCTGTTGACTCGCAGGTATGACACTAGTTTGAAGCAGTACATCCAAGAGAAGCAGCTAAGCATTCGAGTAGCCACCCTCCTCCTAGCTCAGCTGCTAGAGGGTATCGCACACATCAATATGAATGGCATCGCACATCGGTCAGTATGGACAAGCAAGCATTACTAAGATACGGGGCATGTAATATTATACATCACGGCTCACAAATTGTATGTAATCATGATTCGTATTTTGTGCAAATGTATTTTATTTATTATAAGAACAGAAAGGTTGAAACTTGTTTCTGAAGAATTAGGTTAATTTGTTAATGTGTTTTTGCCAGCAAAATCAGTCAGCCAAAACATCAATCTCCTGAGATTTTCGACCGGTGCCAACCCACCATCGTGAGGAAATTGGGGAGCTGCAATGGGTAGAGTAATCCGGTCATGAAAACTAGCGATGGCTGGGGGTTTGTCGTGCTGACCATACATCACTCTATATCTGGTTGGATGATCGTTCACCTCTGCTTAGGCATGTGAATGTGAGGCCAGCAGTCAAGCTAGTCGGCTTTGGCTCTCGAGCCGGTTACGCCACGGATTTAATTTTAATTTTAGTAAATATTGGTTATACTGTCACGCCTTCATTTATCTGGAATTAGTGAAATTTCCTCCACCTCGTGTATTTGTTATGTAGCGATCACTTGGACATTAGGACATTGTTTTTTTGTAAATGGAGTGCCTGCACGTAAAGGTGAGGTTGGCATGTAAGTAGCCTTTACGTTTTGCATCTGATTTTGAGTTATTATCAGTTCATTTTCTTGCACACGTATCTGTTCTGACATATGGGCTCCAATTTTCTGATCTCTCATTACAGGGATCTGAAAAGTGATAACATCTTGCTTGACTTATCTGAGGGAGATGACTGTTGCCCTCTGCTGGTGGTGACAGACTTTGGGTGTTGCCTAGCTGACACGGTTCACGGTTTGTCATTGCCATATCACTCCCCGGATACTGATAAAGGAGGCAACACTGCACTCATGGCACCAGAGGTGTGTGGTGAGAGTTTAAACAGATTTGGCCCTATGCTTTTAATGTTATAAATAAATACAAGGCCAGCATTCTAACCGCTAGACCACCGTGGCGGTCACCAATAACTATAAGTACATGGAAGAAGATGACAGCTACTCACCAAGTGAGATCTGTGAGACGAGTGTAATGGATGTTGGAGACGATGCCAAATGGCTCGGGTTGTTGTGTGTCATAAAGCAGCACAGAATTCTGAGTCGCCACTGCAAGTACCATCCTGTATGGAAGTGCGAACATAGACTCCCTGTCCCGCAACTCAAAAAGTAGGGGGCAACATCGCACTGCAACTGTGTGTTGGTTATTTGAAGGGAGGTAAACAGCAGGCCTGAAAAACAAATTCAGGTAAAAGGCATGCAAGATGAGCTAATGGTATACGCAGTTTGATATGTGTTAATGTAAATGCTTTTATGGAGAACATATTCTCATTAACATCAACATTAAAATTGTTGGTTTACAATTTGAAATCCATTGTGCTCATAATCATACAACACAGCAAGTAAGCGTAGCAGTAATGTTCTAGTCTTGTATTCATCTAGGCTACCAGTTACACTGACTGAGGCTTGTCATGATTTTCTAATGTAACCTGAGTAGAGTAACATGTAAAAATAAAAACCTATTTAATGTTAAAGATAAATTCAGAAAATATAGCATCAGCTATATATGACAATTTTCCTCATGCTTTGATTCATTTAAGATTTTGTTACTTTTCAATAGCACCTATTATACTGTAACATACACATGGAAAGAACTAATTTATGTACAACCATCCTGTTGATGAAAAGAAAATACACCGTCTTCAACTACGAACAATCAAAGAATCTTTGTCCATACAGGGCAAAACAAGTGCTTACCTGTTAAACATGCGCCGTGTGAAAATAAAAGCAGCATTGCTGTTCTTATCACTGTTAGGATTTTCAATAATACCGGAAGGCACTATTAGAAGCTGTCCGTCTGGCGAGAAGCAGAGTCGCCTGAAGAAGGATTTAAGCGTGTCATCATGGAAGAGGCGCACCACCTTGCCATGTAGGTCAGAATTATCAGGAACAGGCAACTGGGCTTTGCTAACACGACTCACCAATTTCTTACTGCTGACACTGTACACTCGACACATCCTGCAAATAATAATAAAGTTTTCTACTTGGTTTCTGGTGTCCTAAGTTTATTTAACAATGTTCTCTAAACAGCATAAATTATAAAATTATCAGATGAAAGGAACTGGCTATAGGTTCTAATCACTCAACTCTGATATTTGGTGCAATCTGTCTTATAAACAAGAGAAACAAAACTTAACGTAAAAAATCTTACTTAGAATATCCCATGGACACTTATTTCATTTATATACTACAGAAAATTCTCATCCCTAACTGAAGTAATTTTCGCACATGATTATTAATCATCATTACGACAGTAAGTGAAAGGTACAAACAGTGAAGTTCCTCATTATGTATTTTTTTCTATTTGTATGGTAATGTCTGAAGAAGGTAATATTCCGACATTTGGCTAATTAACAGCACAGATCTGCTGAGAATCAAGTGAGATATCTGTAAAATAAAAGTTAAAAGCCACACATTTACCCAGTGTCCTACGTAAGCGATTAAATGCGAGTTGCGTTGGTGAAGCGGAAATATGAAACTGGCCTTTTGTGTGGCGCTGTCCTAGGTTCCAGCAAAGCGGCCAAAGTCCGAGATCAAATATTTTGATATTTTCGCGTGAGTCGCTGCGCTGGTCAGTAAGGCGCATGCGAAAGAAAGCTCTGACTGTGCAGTACACGGAAGGCGCATGCGCAGGAAGGCCGTGTGCTTCTATTGCGGTCTCTCGACATAGGACACGACAAGCGATTCCCCGCTTCATATGACATCCCATGCTGCTTGTTATCGCTTATGTAGTAGATTGCCTTGGTGTCCAGAAACTAAAATGAAGAGTGATAACTCTGTGAATGGCTGACTGTGGGCTTGATGACCGCAGTTCCATAGGGACATTGTCTCTCCCATTTAAAGCAAAAATAACAATTAGCATAGAGGGAGGTTTGTCTGGAAACCTGTAGATTGTAGTATTATCACTGGACTACTTAACTGTGCAAGTTTAACTCGAAAGATCGTCAAAGTAAACAGCTAAATGCATATAAATGATTATTCTTACAGTTTAGTTGGAAAAACTTAACCATATATTGGTGAGAAGATTATGTATTAATCCTTTGAAATAATGAATAATTGCATTTTACCATTGTAATGGTGAAGTGCGATGTTTTATTTGTGGTATGAATTGAATTTTAAGTCCTGGTTACAAAGAATTAACGTAAACTATGTACCTTAGTTGCCTGGTTGTGTAGTTGATACAGCATCACGAAAACTGTATTCAGATCCTGCAATGGCTGCTGTGCCTGACAACGAAGGTGCTGTGCGAAGGGCGGAAGCTCGGCACAGCGATCAGTTCCAACTTCAATGCGGGCGGGGCACAAGAGGGCTGTGTCAGCCCCCCACTAGGGATTGGTAACCGACGCACGCTACCTGAATACCTGCTGATTGCTTCATTTCTCATGAGAGTAAAGTTGCATCAAATTCAGGTGGCCCTCAGCTGGATTCATAACACTTAGTATTCTGGTCGGTTAGACTTCCTTCGTGATGTGTATATTCAATTGTAGCTTGAAGGAAGATGGGTAATCAGGATCTTAGCATAATCATAATTAAAGTTACTGTCATGGAAAGTGTATTAGATGTCAAATACCAATTAAAATTTGTCTTATAGCTATTGTGCCTTGATTATGCAAGTTCATTATATGTATATCTTAATGATCATTTTAGATTATTTCACATTTATTAAATCACTTTTGTTTGTAAATTCAAAAATAATTACCATTGGTTAAAATTTCTTATTGTAACTCAAAGTTACTGTCTTGCAAAAATAATTACCATTGGTTAAAATTTGTTATTGTAACTCAAAGTTACTCTCTTATAATTTTTGTTTTTACAGTGGATTTGACATACATTATAATTACGAGCTAGAAGAGGCAGTTGTAACATAGAAGGTTGAGGGAAGTAAAGTAGAATCTAGTCGATTATGTACATTTCTCGTAGTTCCTAAACTATTTCTAACATCTGACAGATTTGCAGATGTATTACAAATGTAGTGACTCGTGTATGGATAATGGTAAGTAAAATGTTTTCTGTATATGTGGTACTTTCTTCTGCATTCATGAATGATTTGTTAATATCAGATTGTTGCCTCATAATTATAATTCTGATGGTAACTTATGGTATAGTATAAGACTTCCCTTTTAACGTCCATCACTTCACACAACCTTTCCCAGTTCATCTCCGTTCTCGCACTGTTATATTTTATTTAAGAGATGACTACTTGTGTTCTTGATCTACGCAACAGAATGCTGTATTACAGAATAACTTTATTGTATTTTTGCTAGAGGGGAAATTGTAATTAACATGATTACTTTTGTTACAACATTTAACACGCCTCCAAGTAGCTCTGGTGAACTGTGTTAGTCTTAAAAGAACATATCTGATTCAAAATGATGTAATCTTATCGAGACGCTTTGGTATGTTGGGATGACAGTGGTGTAGGTTTAGTGTCCGATATAAATAAATAAATGTCTAACAAGAAAATGGATTATCTCTTTCACTTCATTATTTCTAGTCTAGACTGACATGCTGTATCTGTCGTGGCATGTACCACACTCTGTTCACTATTTTTAAATGCATTTTGCAACATCATAGACTGCTCATTAGTACCTTTATAATTAGTAATTCCCTAGAGAAGAGTCGTTGAGAAGCTAATAGTAATGAACCCAGCCAGGATATTCCCATTCTTTAATGGAACCTACAGATCCTGGTCGCGTGTTCCCTGTTGTGAGCCAAATGTATCGAGTCCACTCTTCATTTCTTTATGGTCCATTTTATTATCCTCAAATGTATGTCTAGGTCTGAATGGTTTTTCCCCTTTAGACTTTGCAACCAAAACTTTGTATACATATCTTGTCTCCCTGTGTTTACTGCTTCATCCAAGCAGCTCATCTGCTGTGATTTGGCCTTCATAATATTTGGTGAAGAGTATAAATTGTGAAGCTCCTCAGATTTCAGAATTCTTGAAGACTTTAATTCAGAAGCTGGAGGACAACAAATATGAGTAGATTTTGAGGGGCAATGACATATTTGACGAAAGGCTCAAGTTCGTAGGCCAGGCAACTTGCTGGAACAGTCATATTGTGTGACAATGACATATTTGACGAAAGGCTCAAGTTCATGGGCCAGGAAATTTGCTGGAACAGTCGTATTGTGTGACAGCATATTCACATGTTTCCAACTAAAATTCTGCATGTATTTTTGTTACCCCATGCATATTACATGCACTGTCAATCTTGTTATACCAGTGGAGTTCTTTGACATGCTTGAACACTAGATATCTCGTGGATGATGGTGATACATGACTGGTTGGGAGACAAAAATTTGTTGATAGTACTGGGCTCAAGTTACAACAGGTTAATCAGCAGTTGAGTGTACACAGAATTCTTCCAGGTGATTTCTGTTGTTTGTCATGGAGTTGATAACATTTTGCACATCAATTGCAATTTTGTACTGTTAGGCTTATTTCTTCGTTATTGACTCATCAGCTGATCAGGTTATGTTGGTATAATTTGTAGACTATGCAGGCCTTTACACAAAGAAAGACATGATAAGGAATTTGACGAAAGTTATGGCATACTTAAATTTTCTTTTTTATTACCTTTAGTCCCAGTACTGATACATTGTGGTTCTGTGGGAGGTAACGTAAGTACATAAACCCTCATCACGATCGACATTTTTGCAGCTGTTTAAACATCAAATCTTATTTTACAATAATTTTCCGGCTTATGTTACATCATATATGGATAAACAATTTTGTTTATGACACTGATACGTATGGAATTAGAGCAATGGAACGTCGCCCGTACTTGAAATTCAAACACGTTTGTTCTAATACTCTGTGATACCAAAGACTACGAGACGTAATTTGGAACCATGTGTTCTCCATAACCATTTACGATCTGTTGCTATACATGAAACCAGAATGGAGGACGATGATGAGAGTAGAGTGTTAATCGAAGAAGATTATTACACGTTTTTTAATATTCCAAGAAATGTAAGTTACTGCAATGCCATTTCAGTATTAAATTATTTATTATTGATGCTGGTCTATATTTTGTGCTATTACATTTCGGACAAGAAGTTATGCTGCCGGTGAAGTGGTGTGTTTTGATGTATGTGTTTCGTTTAATGACAAGTTTATCTTTTGATTCAGGCAACGAACGAAGAGATCAATAATGCCTATCGTCGAAACAGTCGCCTATATCACCCGGACAAACATGTCGAACCCATTCGTAAGAAAGAAGCAGAAATACTTTTCAACAAGACTAAGAAAGCTTATGAAGGTAGTAAGAGAGTTTCGTAATTATTTACACAGCTTATGTAATTGCCTCGCTGAAATTTCTGTAGGAGTTTTGGTCATAAATAAACATTGCCCCGAAGATGTCACAAATGAACCAAAGACACATACTTTGTGCCTATGAAACAGCTATGTTATTGCATCAGATTGACTAATACCTACTTTCATTAATTAATATTAATGTGTAACTTTGTATAGTTTTGAGTGATCCACATCAAAGAGCAATTTATGACAGCCTTGGGACTCGTGGACTAGAAACTGAGGGATGGGAAGTAGTTCAGCGAACCAAAACACCTCAAGAAATACGAGAAGAATATGAAAGATTAGCAAGGTAATATGGAAGGTTATTCTGCATGTTATGTCTCAGAAAAGTCACTGGATAGGACGTGCTGATACTTTTTATGTGTCCTTCGCCTTTATACCTTGTGTTGAAGGAGAGTATCTCATAGAGAAATATTTGTGACATTTGGTACACTTTCCTCTTACAAATGAATTCCTACTCTCATTACTGTCTTTTGTTGTGGAAAGGTTTATATCATGATATAAAAATATTTAAGCCAACATAGAAAGATTATCTTTTACCTTATTTCTTGTGCTCTGTATAACAATTTACTTCAATAGAAAATTATTAAATACTGTAAATATTTATATTTAGCATGTTTTTTGGGGGGTGTTTTATTGTACTGTTTTTCATATTCATACAATGACATGTTCCATATCCTTGACTTAAATTATGAAGGGTCAGTGGAATGTAAATTAATTCTGGTTCTAGTTACATCAGACTTTCTGTGGAAAATTTAAAAAAAAAAAAATATACACGCAAATATCTTGAATTGTTATTCGTTCTTGAATTGTTATTCGTTTTTCTTGTCATATATTGCACATTAATGTGTTTAAGTAAATGGAAATTAAACAAATCAAATTTACGATTTCATTAATGACCGAACAGAAACTTCTGTCTGCAGTAACAACAGGACAGAGCTTTTATTTTCTCATGCCACTTTTTTTTTATTTCTTGTTTTCCCCCCCAGAGAGAGAAATGAAAGGAAATTGCAGCAGAGGACAAATCCAAAAGGGAGTGTGACAGTCAGTGTAAATGCTACAGACCTTTTCAGCAGGTACAAGGATGACTTCGAATATGATGAGAGGTAAGATCTGAATGTGAAAGAAGGCAGTACCTAAAACAAGTGAGCATCGATTGGGTTTTATTCCTTTAATATGGCTGGGATTTGTTTCTTCATCACTCACTGAGAGTTGTTGCCGAGTAGTTAGCATTCATGTTCATGGAGTCTGAGGATCAAATCTCTTGACTGAAGTTTTTCATTGTTTTTCTCAGGTCCTTCACATAATTACCAGGATAATACCTTTAATTATGTTATAGCTGCATCCTTTCTGATTTGTTATTCACTTCGAGTTCCATTATTCATTGCCATTCTTGTCGTGTGACGTGCAGATATTAATATCAGTAGGTCATTAAAGTACCCTAATATCAGTATAACTGAAAAAGTAAGAAATGCTGTTAACTGTGATGTCATATAACCCATTATTTAAAATATGCTTTAATCATCCATGTTTAAATTTTTGACAGAAAATAATCTTGAATGAGTTTTCAGGTTCTCATGGCAGTGAATATGAAGATGACTGTCTTCTGAGATGTTGCAAAGTGTAGTCTGGTAGGAACTGATTTATATTTCAGACATTTATACGTGACTACATGGCGCAGCATCCCAGAAAACGAAGTCATCTTCAATATTGTTATGTGTCTGTTTGCAGTGAACATTTACATTTTCCTACTATTGAGGTCAGTGGGATGTCCATTACTCAGTCTATTGAGGCTCCTCTTACTCTGCGTGACACAATGACCATGTCGGGGCAACTGTCGACACAGAATGGGACAGGAAGCGGCTCTGTGGACGTGTCTGTGCGTCGCTTGCTGTCTGAAAAGGGCTGGCTTGAGCTGGACATAGGAGCTGGCAATGGACCCACATTCTCGGTGAAGGGATTTCGTACGCTCAGTAAACGGACATTCAGTAATATGGCGACCACCTTTCAGATCACGCCTCATGGAATAAGGCCAGGTCTCATCACTAGTGAGTGTCACTGGAATTATGGCATCGTTTTTGTTGTAATACGAAGTTCAGTACGTACTTGCTGGAAAGAATTTAAATATGTCACTGAATTTATTGGAGAATGAAAATGAACGTGTGATTTGTAATAACGTGAATACCCAAACTGACTTAATATATCCTAAATTTCTGCCCAACTCTCTGTAGTTGATACAACATTGTCTAAGTTTTGAAGGATGGTGAAGAATTTTTTTTTCTATGGCTCTCTGATCCATATTCAAGGGATTTCGTACGCTCAGTAAACGGACATTCAGTAATATGGCGACCACCTTTCAGATCACGCCTCATGGAATAAGGCCAGGTCTCATCACTAGTGAGTGTCACTGGAATTATGGCATCGTTTTTGTTGTAATACGAAGTTCAGTACGTACTCACTGGAAAGAATTTAAATATGTCACTGAATTTATTGGAGTACCAGGGTACCTGTTTTCATGGAATTTTTTCACACAAGCCATAGACTTTTGTCATCCATTTAAATGTAACTGTCTGATAATTTGTGTGGTTTCAGCACTGGCAACTCAGTTGGATAAGCATACTGTGGGCTACTTGACGTGGCGAGCAGGACACCAGTCATCCATGTCGACCACGATAGTACGAGACACGATGACTTCTCACGCGGCTTTCTCCATCCAGTTTGGCATCCCCCACTCTTTTTTCTCCCTAAGCTACACTCATAAATTCGAGGAGATGGAGCTTAAGTTGCGGGGATCTGTCAAGTGAGTGCACCATACAGCATCAGACTTCCTTGTATTTACAAGAATACATTGCTCAGGCAGACATTATGACAGACACGGAAGGTAATGTCCATTTCTGTGGGTACGTCGAAATTTCTCTATACTGACTACTGTAGTTTACTGCGTCATAATTCAATTCATGAAAGTAGGAATGGGACCAGGGGTCCGCAGTGGCCACGCGGTCTGAGTTGTGGGCCTTGTGCCGCTGGGACCGTGGGTTCGAATCCCACTCAAGCCATGGATGTTTGTCCGCGTTTTTCTGTGTTGTGCTGTCCTGTGTACAGGTAGATGCCTTGCGACGGGCCGATCCCTCATCCAAGGAGTCCTACCGAATGTCTATAGATCAAGTCAACGAAACGTTGGGACCCGCAGTGCTCAGGCACTTGAAGAACGGGTCGTTCCCAGTATCCCAGGAATGAGACCAACATGTAACATGTGGTCTGACACAGTTATGTCAAGCATACAGTACCATAAATGGATCAATTTACAAATCATAAATTTGCATTTATGATTCTTGTTGCCAAGCACGTCAGCTTACGTCAGGTAGTCTATTTTTACCGTGGCTTGATTTAGATCATTTTGTTATTCTCGGGTGAATATTTACATCCAAATAAATATGCCATTCAATAAATCTAAGAGGCTATAGATGATGTAAAAAAATATACTTCATCATCAGGGTATATTCTGTAGTGTGTCAGGTTCGCAGAGTTACTTGACATTCCAGGGCAGGAACATTTGGTGCAATAATGGAATATGGAGCTGAGAAGAAGGTATCTCAGCACAGCTGGTTGGCAGCTTCAGTAGCTGTTGGTGTTCCATCTGGCGTAACACTGAAAATCAAGTAAGTAGACCTTTAAATAATATATTGAATTTGTATGACTTTTGTTTTCTTGATTGATAATGCTCAAATCAGAATAAAACACTATGAGAATCTGAGGCATGAGAACTCGAGGGAAGGCAAAATCAAACTTCCTGATAGATCGATCATTTGAACCTTGAGGGGTTTCACCATACACATGTAGTGGTGGTGTTCACATTTTTACCTGGAGTTGTGCTTTCCATTCTTTGATGTGTTCCAACAAAAATATTTTATTTTGTTGTTCAAATTTTAGGTTCCCCCAAGAATCTCGCCCTAGCAGCCTGATACTTAATCTGAAATAGACATTTCTTTGATCTAGGCTGAGTCGAGCAAACCAGACGTACATGTTCCCAATTCACTTGAGCGACGAGCTTATTCCAAGTCCTGTATTCTATGCTACTGTGACTCCAGTTGTTATTTGGGCTGTTGTCAAGAAACTTATTGTGGATCCAATTGTTCTTGAACAGAAGCAGCGAGACAAGGAGAAACAGCGTGAACTGAACAAAACGAGGTATTTCTGTTGTTCATACTTGAAACCCAGAAATGTGACGTTACGTAGTCACACTTTGTACAAACAGAAATTACGAGGCTTGTTCAGATGAAACCCTTTCTGGGAACATTTTGGGTGAAGTAGTGGAAGCCATTAGAAATAGTTTACGTGGGTGATGAGGCTGGCATCCCATTAATGCACCAGCAGATGGATCCCCTTAGTTTGATGAATCTGAAAGAATTCCTTGGACTGTTGCACCAGCGTGGCCTTGACATCTTAATCTTGCTCGCTGAAATATCTCATGAGAGAGAATTCTTACTAATTTATAGTTCTTGGTAGCTTTACCTTATAGACTGAAACATTTGAAGGAAAGTAGGGATTAGAAGATCTTTACAAAACTTATTTTTGTGTAATAGAATGGCAGAGAAAAAGAAAGAGGCCTCGGCAGCGGTGGAACTGATGCGAGCTACGTTTGCTCGTGTACGGAGTAATGAAGAGGCAAAGAGAGGTCTCGTTATCATAAAGGCTCTGTATGGACGACACATGGATGTTGCTGATCTCGGCAGAAGAGGGAGTGGAGAGGAGGAAGGCAGAGAAGCTGGTACTACTGCTGACCTGGAGCACCTGGATGAGGTGATTGATGTAACGATTCCACTCCAGTGCCTTGTCAAGGACTCAAAACTCACACTTCATGATGCATCCAAGGTATGTAGGAGTTCCGAAACTCCTCCTCCCCCTTAGTGCCTACATGGTGTATAGTGGGACAGCTTTACTTTACTTACTTTTTACACTTGGCATTAAACCCAGGAAAACAACATTGTCGTCTTCGTCAGTGTAAGAATTTTGAATCTCGGGTCACGGCTCGTCTCATTACTATAGTGTGTACAGTAAATGAGTTACAAACAAAGAAGGTGAATGTATACATGTTTTCTGTGCAGAGTCAGTTACCTGGGTTCTATGACCCCTGCATGGGTGAGGAGAAATCACTGTTAGTGCATTACCTCTTCCACAGTCATGTCCATGAAACTGTTATAGAGGACAACGAGGTTCTCAGGATACCAAAACAATGTGAGTATCCCACTTACACAACGTTGTCCTACTTATCACTGAAAAGCCAGGAAGTTGGGAGTACCCATGCAGACCACATAGGAACAAATGTCCGCCCAGTATGACGGCTATGATGAAAATAACATAACTTGTTTGGGTGATCATTTATAATGGGTAAAAATAATACGTTATTTTTGGAAACCTGTCAGAGCATTTCAGACATTTGCATTATCCACTTCACTTCTACCAAAAATCAAGTCAGTAATGTTGGCATAATAATGAATAATTTCTAATGTGTATAATAAATTATTCTGTTATTCCATTGTATCTTTTGAGAAAAATGTGTGGACATTTTTTATTCAAACCAAGAAATAGTGGAGGTTTAATGTGAGAAACATTATCGTAGGACACAAAATTTATGACAAAAATTCATTCTGTAACCAAGAAAGGGATACTTTTGGAAAAGCCACACAGATTCTAATTATGTCTGGTCACAAAGCATTAATGATGGGAAAAAAGGAATAATTTCTAATCTGGGAAGGGAAATATATAAAAAAGAAAAGTATTAGTCTACTTTCCTCTGTTTTTGTATTGTACGTTACAGCTTTCTCTCTTTTGCAGCACACCGGGTGAATGCAACTTAACAACACTGAAGTACATAGTCAATTTTTCTTAGTTCAAGACTTGTATCTTTGTAAGTACCGTATAACTTAAAAACAAGCAGCGTTTGGTAACATACAAGGACGTACATAGTATCTGTTAGAACCTAGGAAACTTGAAAGAAACAAGCAAGTGAGAATAAAAACAAGCAGGTTACAGTATCTCACAATTTTCTTATTTTTAAATGAAATAAACATTTCATAGTTACTTTAAGTCAGTGTAACTTAATCATGGTAATAGGTGCAAGGAGTCGCATTATCGAAGCAATGACAGCTTTCCATTCCAAATTAATTATGGGAGTATTCAGATGCTTTGATTTATGGCCTCTTGCTGCTACGTCATACCTGACCTACTTTCACCGTGTCTTTGTCAAAAGCTAACATCTTCGCTGCTGAACAGCTTGTCCATAAGAGACGGCTGCTGAAACCTGTTTTCAGGTGTCCATGAGAGGTCCTGCTCCAATCGATAAGCTCCTACGTAAACATGAGGTGGTCCTCCACGACTGCTTTCCCAATCCTGCACACGGAGTAATTGCATTGCATCGTTAAGTATATTGCATTTAATCTCATGAATACAGTAATGAACATTCAGATTCCGTACCACCAGGGGATTTATTCAGCAGCACAGCAACTATAAACTGTTCGAGAGAGGAAGATATAGAACTATTACCATCTGCACATATGAAAGGAAGTCTGTTTTCTGAGGTACAAAATGTGTGGAATATATCTCAGTTTACATGAGAAGATACAGCTGGCTCACCTCTGGAGAGAGCATGGAGAAGTAATGCTGTCCAGAAGGTCTCTTGTACAGGTAGTAGGTGTGGCCAGGTAGCTTGCGGAAGTTGCAGGCTGCGTGATGAAGTTCCGAGTTTTCTTTGGCTTCCAGTAGAACTTTGTGGGCTTGTTGTTGCAGGAAACGAACTTGTTCAGCTATCATCTGAAGTTTGCTGCATGCTGTGGCTCTTACAAGAACATCAGCCTGCAAATAGAAACAATTGTCAACATTTCAGCACAAGTTCAGTGTCTTCCTGGAACAGTAGATAGTTACTGAGCTCTTCAACAGATTTCTTATTGTTATGGAACCTGAAAATTCATCACCCATCTCACAAAAACCGTCCATTAAACTTTCTACCAACCAGGAGAATCCACTTTGTAGCTTCATAACCTATTTTTCTAAAATCCATGTTTTATAAATATTTTTTATTTCATCACCATTAGATGCAAAAATTCTCAGTACTTCGTAACGACAACAGGAGAAGTCGAGGTGATAGTGAATAAAGCAGGTTGATTACTTGATGATCGTAATGGTTGAATGAATATGAACTGTCTACAACAAAACAATTGGGATGATAGTATATTTAAGCATGTAAATTTGTATAAGGGGAAAAATATATACATTGTGCTCACCCTTTGAATTTCTCTAGCGAGGTCTACCAGATCAGTGGATTCATACTTTGCCATTGCAAATCGATTAATAAGTTGAATACCATGAGGCTCAGTATTCTTCTCAACAAGGAAGCCTAAAATCAAACAAAAAACCTATATAATTTTCCTTCTAGACTATGATAATTTTCAGGGAATGTTCATGACCACAAAGTGTTTCAACCCAGATGACCACCATCAACAAAGACAAACCTGACTGCACTCTCCCCTTTGTATTGTGTTCGGCCCAATGGTGTAGTGGGGACAGCCAGTGCTACATAATGTTTATACAAAAATTGTTGAGGTAGGGGGATAGGCTTATACTTTGAATTATCAGTCCACATTTGTGACCATGTGCTGCATGCCAGGTCATACCAATTCAAAATGCAAGCCTTGCTCCTTTTCATATTATACATTTTAATACAAAAATAGGTTATTATTTATTGACCATGGTGATATGGTAAATTTGGGTTGGGGTTGTAAGTTTAGCAAATCATTTTAAAAAGATTGGCATCCTTGCATTCGACGTTTATCGATTATCGTACTGATATCTACTTTATCACCAAATATCCCTAACAGTATATTACGAACTACAGTTTCTTCAACTTCATGAAGCCCATTATCAATTAATTTCAGATTTTCAACAATGACTGCTGTTATGTTACTTTACACTTCATTTCCAGTACTTCGCTTTTATATTTTGGTGTATTTTCTTTCAACCAGTTGGTATCGCCCATGTCATTAAAAGTTCTTTGCATTATTTTCAGTACCATGCACCGAACAGTTTTGTAATCTGTTCAAACCCACGTTTGAGCTTTGTAAAATTATTATTGAAGGAATACAATGGAAAAGTTCGCTATCCTACTCTGCAGATACTAAAACACTGGACACTATACGCGAACACCACTGTACCTGCCCCATTATATTTTAATTTTGAAAATTCTTCTGGGTCCATATTTAATATACGACGTTTCATGTAGACACCTGTACAAAGTTGCTTCTCTCAACTTATTTCTCTTAATATCCGTTTTCAACGATCTTGGTGCGATCTAGCGGTATTCCATAAAACGCTCACTGTAATAAATTGCTATTCAGTCAAATTATGAATTACATTAATTGCTATGATGGTATAAGCAGACATTGATTATGGATAAAGGCAAAGTACTGTTATCAAATAAAGAATATATGAGAAACATTGATGTGCCATTCCTATAGCAGTTCCTTTCAATTCTTCACTGTTACTGTATATGTTTGCAGCGCGTAATAAATTCGTATATTCTAATTTTTTATATTTCATTTTTAAAAAAGTAATATAAAAGTAGTGTTCTGTAAAAAATTATCAGAATATTAGTCCCTGTGACTTCCGCGCGTAATGATATCTGGAACTGGGTAACAAGTTTCATATTGGTCATGTGTCTCGTGTCTGTGTTGTGATTCTCACACGATGTGTCTTAATTCTGTAGCCTGTGGACAATTTAGTAATATTATGTAGAAGTACCGTGTTTGGTTTGAAGAGCTGTTTTCTAAGCTTGTGAAGTTTATAGAGATATTAGGCTTCAGTATGGGGAAGAAGAATAAATCCTCAAATAATCTTGGTAGATCCCTAATAAAAGATAGGTTTGGAGCAACCAACAAAACTAGGAGAAATAAAGACCAGTCTTTGGTAAGTCACACATTATTACGTAAAAATAGATTTAGTTGGATAAACTTGCCGTCAGTTTCTTACTTTCGAAGAGGAACTATAATTTGTTTAAGAAATTGCTTCGTACAAAATCCTAACCTAACAAATGTTCGTACAGACCCAAAAAGTTGTAACATGAGTGTCATCACAATATACGAAATATTTCCTGAGATTATCATATTGTTCGGATGTAATTTAATTTATTTCAATTTACACTGCAGGTTAACATGCTCCTTTGTCTTTTACTAGCTTCATACAGCAGATGTAGATGATGGTTATGATTGGGGACGCCTTAACCTTCAGTCAGTGACAGAAGAAAGTTCGTTCCAGGAATTCCTCTCCACAGCTGAATTAGTTGGAACAGAATTTCAGGTAATTTTGTTCAATTTTGTATTTATATAACTCAGTCAGTATAGTAATTGGCTACTGTCTGGACGACCGGGGTTCGATCACCGACGGAGTCAGAGAATTTTTCTGTAGCCTTTGCGCCCAGACCAGCTCTGGGGCCCACCAAGCCTCCTATCCAATGGGTACCAGGGTTCTTTCTCGGGGGTAAAGCGTGGCCGGGGCATGATACTAACCACTCAGCCCTACCTTGTGCTGAGATGAAGAATGCATAGGAGCTATACCCCCTCTCCCCCCAAGTGCCTACATGGAATATAGCAGGATGGCTTTTATAAAATTTTCCTAGATTTTACTGGACTTGAAGATTTAACTATACAAAAATATCTTTTGCCACAGTATACCATTTATTTGTAAACAATGCATATTTTTTAACCATGGACTAAAAATAATGCGGTTCCATCACACCTCCTATTTTTAATCCTGTCTCTTATGTTTTAGAGGTGGCACCTAGATGTCGAGGTCTGGAGGACACATGAGCGACATGTATTACTTTATAAGATTGCTATTTTTTGTTCCCAGGCTGAAAAACTGAATGTCACATTTGTGAACCCGAAGAGTGGCATTGGGTTACTCTCAGAAGGGGACAAAGATAAAGTGAAGGATGCACAAGACAAGAACAAACAGTTGTTGGGGATACCGAGAAGGTTGAGTGGCTAATAACTTTTATATCAATTCTTTTTCTATGCATCCAGCAAATCAGAAGTCCTAGTGCCAGATTCAAATTTTTTTGTATCTAATCGTATGATTTTGATTGTATGAATTTTATAGCTGAACATGTTCGCTCCCAGAAATACTTTTGCCCTGAAAGATCTTTGGGTTCTGTCACTTGTATGGGTGAAGTATTTGGCAGATGGTCGGTTAGATTGTCAGTTAATTAGTTTCTTGGTTATCTCATGTCAGTATGAACATTTTACTGTAATATTAAATGTGCAGACCAAAGTGGGATGTCAACACTACAGCAGAGCAGTTGCAGGCAGCGGAACGGGATTCGTTTATAGAGTGGAGGCGACGTCTGGCCACACTGCAAGAGGTAGAAGGTGTACTTCTGACACCATATGAGAAAAACCTAGAGTTTTGGAGGCAGCTGTGGAGAGTGGTTGAGAAGAGGTAAACATTTTGCTTTTATGGCTATATAAAGTAAAAGAAGTTACAAAACAGTTCAGTAATCCCTTGATGAATTTCATCATTGTGGTCCAGATGTCATCTGCAGGATTCTTAGGTAGGAAGAGAAGAATTCTAGTAAGCATACAGTGCACCTCCTCATTTCCAAATTTTTGCGGATTGATATATATTTGTGTTAATTGCAAGAAATGTAAATATTATTTGCTTTGTACTTACCTTCATCTGAACCCTTGGAATGATCATCAGAGTAGCAACAGTTGAAGATAAAGATTGACTAGTCACAAAAAGAATTAGTAAAAGACCTGGGAAATTCATGTAAATTACATGTATTTTGCAGGAAGTAAAACCATTGAAGTGGTAGGAAAATTAATGGGACTGAAAATAAAATTACAGCTTTTTATCCCACAAGTTATGATCTTCAGACCTCTTGAAGTGCACCATACCAAGGGAAAATACTTATGGTACTTGTCTTTTTTTTCATATTTACATGTAAAATTCTAGTGAAATAAAAAGTGGTAAAACTGTAAATGAGACCAGGTTTGCATTAGAGGGAGGTACAGTGATGGAACACAAGGGGTCAGCTTGTCACTGATTGTATGTTTCAGTGATGTGGTGGTGCAGATAGTGGACAGTAGGAACCCCCTCCTATTTCGCTGCGAGGATCTCGAGACGTACGTGAAGGAAGTGAGTCCTCACAAGTTGAACTTGATCCTGATCAACAAGGCTGATTTCTTGACACAAGCTCAGCGCCAGGCATGGGCAGAGTACTTTTCGAGTCTCAACATAAGGGCTGCGTTCTTCTCTGCCACGCTGGCAGCGGAGACAGAAGAGAGCGAGGGTGATGAGTGCGTGTCCCCGAATGAGGAGCTGACTGAGGAAGTTTCAGAAAGTGAAGAGGAAGAAGACATAGCAGAGAAGTCTCCATCATGTGATAATGATGCTGCTAAAAGTAATAGCGAACTGTTTACTGATTCTGACACAGCTGGTGTTACAGTCGTGAAGTTGATGAACTCTGACAAGCTTCTAACTCGTGAAGAGTTGGTGGCTGTCTTCAAGTCTCTACACACAGGACCGAAGGTGACAGATGGTGTGACCACTATTGGGTTAGTCGGCTACCCCAATGTTGGCAAGAGCTCCACCATCAATACACTTCTCACTTACAAGAAGGTCTCTGTGTCCTCTACCCCAGGAAAAACCAAACACTTCCAGGTATGATCAGTGTGTCGAAGCTGAGCTGTAGCAAGTTGTTGTTGAAAGTACATATATTAGCCATGCTTCTACCATTGGAAAGGGTGTGAATTATTGTACAGTGTGTCCACAAAGTCCCTTCGGGGTTTTGAAAAATTGTGATGCGCAAACAAATTGAGCTAGCCACATGCGGTTTGCGGCAGATTACAGTGAAACTCTGGAAGTTTTTTACTGACCTCAGTAGACCTCGATGTGGGTTCTCTTGGTAGCACGGAGAACGTCCAGACGATATTCGAGCTCTTGCCATGTTCTGTGGAGCATGTCCGCTGGAATAGCCGAGATCGCATTCCTGTACGGGTCTTCAGGTCATCAAGTCTGTTAACTGGTGTTCGGAACACATTGCTCTTGACATAACCCCATAGGAAAAAATCCAGTGGTGTTATGTCTGGTGAACGTGTAGGCCAAGATTTTTCCGCATGCCTTTTCCATCCCCGTACCTCATGACAAAGGTAAAACTTTCTGAGTATAAAGGATGCCAGGCACCCATCATGGTTTTTAGCCCAAATTAATCTATAAGTCACCTCCTCTGACTTTCGTAATCAGGGTCTTTATCTTCTTACATGGTGGTTTAGTTTGTCACAGGTGAAATCCACCATTGCTCAGATGGACAAAGGCTAGGAACGGTGAATAGACCATAACTGTTGACACATCCAATTCTGATGATCGTTGTACTGATTTTAGCAAAACCTGACTGTGACAATCATTGATTTTCAAGGTAAAGGTTTTGAGAGAACGTGCATGTGTTGTTCAGAATGACAGTAGTGTATTTTTTGTGAGCAGACGCTGTTCCTGGAGCGTGACCTCATGCTTTGTGACTGCCCCGGACTTGTAATGCCGAGCTTCATGTTCACAAAGGCGGAGATGGTAGTGAATGGGATTCTTCCAATTGATCAGATGCGTGATCATGTCCCACCTGCGACGTTAGTTTGTAGCCTCATACCCCGATCTGAACTGGAGTTCACCTATGGTATAATGCTGCCTATGCCTTCAGAGGGGGAAGATCCCACGCGACCTCCAACTGCAGAGGAGCTGCTTAATGCTTACGGATGTATGTATTTCCATGTTCTGTGTAAAAAGTGACTTCTTTATGTAGATATCTAAATCTTAAGTGGCTGCATAAATGGAACTTTTTATGTGAAGCTAACATGTTAAGTTGTGCCTGATTCTTAATTAAGCACCATGCGATGCAGACAATTGGAGAGTGGAGGTACAGCTCCACACTTTTGAAGCACCAGCACTAGGTGGAATTGAGTGGTCATAAGCTCTGTACTTATACAAACTCCACACCATTGCAGACAACCGGGGGTTCATGACTCAGAATGGACAACCAGACAATCCTCGGTCATCTCGTTACATCCTGAAGGACTTTGTGAAGGGCAAGTTGCTGTACTGTCATGCCCCACCCACTCATGACCAGTCACAATATCACATGTTTCCAGGGAGGACAAAGCAGTCCAGGCCATCCAACTTGCCTCCTCTTGGTGTTCGTCTGCTCAAGGTAATGGCAACTCAGAACATGAAACATGTACTTATCAGTTTGGACAGTCAGGTTGTCACTATTGTCGAGGACTTAGAAGGCATCTGACGGAATGGGATCGCAGATGTTACGCTGCCTGCTTCAGTCTCTGGTGGATATTCACTACCTCTGAGCAACATTTGTGTATCTCATGTTTTGCCAGTCTCCAAATAATTTCTGTCTTACTTTACCTTCCTCCAAAGTTTATTTCAAGAATTTTGTTAAACCTTTATAAAGTCTGCTGATTCAGGGTATGGATTCTTCTTCCTGCAGGCAAACAAGATATCCACAGAGGATCTTGACAGGCAGTTCTTCCAAAAAGTTTCAGTTGGGGTGCACAAGAAGGGAACACAGAGCTCCTCAGATGCCAGGTAGCCTGTCTTGATATCACATTTACTAATTAGTCAGCAGTGTATCCTTGAATTTTGCATATTTATGGAACCTTTCAAAATATATTAATTTGTTGTTGGTTAACACTATATAATAATAATAATCCGTGGCGTAACAGCCCTATGAGAACCAAAGCCGACTAGCTTGACTGCTGGCCTCACGTTCACATGCCTAAGCAGAGGTGAACGATCATTCAACCAGATACAGAGTGACGTATGGTCAGACTTTTTCTCTGATATGCTGCAAAATTTGATGTGCAAGTGTCAGTTTTGTAGGAAAACTCTGACTTTGTAGGTGTTAACGTTAATAGAACCTGACACTGGCTTGGGCATGACTGTCATTGCAGTGATGCCAGCACAAACGCAAAACCATGGAAAGATCACCGAAACAAGAGGAACAAGCATGAAAAGTTGCGCAGGGTGTATGCTCACTTGGACCAGTGACACCAAGTTGGACGACAGTGTGATGGAACATCATGTGCACAGATGGTGCACATCTTTCAGAGCCACTGCTGCCGTTTTATGAATGAGGCATCTCAAGGTAAAAAGGTTTAGCCACTGGCCATTTTATAATGAAACTTTGCAATGTAGTAAAACCATATTATAGTATTTTTCAGTGGAATTGGCGGCTAAGTCGAGTTCTGCTCTTTGTGAGTGACCATTCAATGCAAAGGAGGTCTGTTGGTAAGCAGGGAGACCTGTCTGTTCAGAAGCCCAGTGATAGAAGCATCGGCAGTCGCACTGCGTTGTTGCCAATCTTACATGTTCTTTGCATGGTGTAGTAACCATTTACTGTAAACCAATGTTCAATGATGCTACATCTGGCACTGCTCTATGTTGTTTCCTCACTATCTCGCCCCTCCGCCTCCCACCGCTACTTCCTACCACGGCACAGTACGTGATTGGTGCACCCTTTCAGCCACCAATTCCGCTGAAAACTGTTATAATTTGTTACAGGCAGTCCCCACTGTTATGAATACTAATATTCCTGGAGCTATTTTCCATAAGTGCAGTGTTAAAATTGGAGCTTATTTTCCAGAACAACTGAAAAATTACCCAAAAAATTAGAAACCAATTTTAATGCCTGAAACGAAACACACAAGCAACAGAATATATTGATGAATTGATTGTTGTACTTCCCTGGTGTTACTGACTGACTGGGCAACGGGCTTGAAAACTGGTTTTGGTTCCTGGCAGGGCAAGGTTTTGGGTCGTTACAGCCTCCATGTCTGTACTTACTGTGCCAGCCTCTTATCCAGTGTGTATTAGGGGTTATCATGGAGGTTCAGGCAACTGAAGTATGAAGTTAATCATTCGCCTCCATCAAGTGCTAAGGCGGAGTTTATTCCCCATACCGCCTTTGTGGTGTGTAGTCACAGGGGTAACATTAACTGTGTCTAGTAATTGTTACTGTGATCATCATTATCATTGATATTATTACAGGTGTTTTTTTTCCATTGTGGTGCAATATGCATCCACAGAATTTTGCTAACTTCCCTGTAGAAGGAACTGAAATGGTAAAGTTTTGTTGCTGCTGGAATTGGATTATTTCATAACAGAAAATTGTGTTGAAGGTGATGGGAATGTTGCTCTGTAAAACAGATGACAGTGTAATAAATGACACAGGTTCTGGATTTTGTTTGAAGTATGTAAAAGTGCTGTAGGGTGCAGTAATGGTGGTCCATACCATTCATCAGGATCCTGTCCTTGATAATCCTGTTAGCTAAAGTGTAAGCTTCTGCGTCTGTATCATCAGAAAGCTTTGCACTGAAGCTTGTCATCCCAATTTCCCAAGTTTAGAACCTTATTGTTGATATTGGTCTTCAGGACTGAAAATGGAGGTAGTATATGCTCTTTCATGCAATGATACAACTGAAAAGACCAACATTTATGTCTTCACTGCCATAGATCTTCATATCTCTTTCTTCTAGCTTCACACCTTTCAGTCGATGTATCTTGATAGTCTCCCCATTCGAGTGTTTTAGAAATTCTGTGCCTGTCCATCCAGTGTGTGAAAACCATATTTTATTTATTTATTTTATACGACTCGTTCTTCAGTGCCTGAGCATCTGCGGGTCCCAACTTTTCGTTGGCTCTGATCTAAACAGTTGGTAGGTCTCCTTGGACGAGTGACATATGACAGGCTCTGTGTGAGATCCTTTTAGATTTTGACACCAAGCTCAATTTCTGAGGTAATAATGCCATAAATATATTCTTTCATAAATTTTATACATTGTGTGCCAAATTAATTTTATTGCAGTTTGGTAACAATGTTTTGATTTTGTGTATTTCTGTGATTGTAATGTAAAAAATTCATATTTATTGAAGTTGAAGTGAAATGTTGCATTTTCAAGGTTTAATATATAAAATATCCTCCGTTCCCAGGAATGAGTAGGGTTGAAATGTCCATCAATACTGAAGGGTTAAACAGGTGTCCTTTAAAATAATTTAAAGTGTCCCTATCTTGAAACCATTTTTGATGAAACTGCTCTTTGCAAACATTTTCACAAAAATGTCATAAAAAAGTATTCTGGGAAGACCATCCTATGTACTTTTTGATGTTTCCAAATGAATAGATATGACAGCCAGAATTAAAATGATAAGTCATGTAATTCACATAAAGAACAAACTCTTGCTTCATATTTGGGAGGTCCCAGGTCTGAATCTCAAGCCACAGATTAGCTATCATAACAGGATTTTTGTGACTTTTCTCAGTCCTTCCAAGCAAATGCCATGGTAATACCATAAACTAGGCTGTGACTACTTTCTTTCATATCCATCCTAATTAATTATTCATTAATCATTCAATATTATATTAATTTGAGCTTTTAATTGTAATGTTAAAGAAATTACTGCTGACATTTGGTCGGGGGAAATCCTCAGTAGGTCACCATACTATTTACATTTACTTCTTTATTGTTCATACAATATTATACAATTTTCCATATCTATTAACATATAATATACCTTTTCATCTGTTAAGTCACTTCACCATGTGCCTTCAGATATTACAGTTTTTCAGTAGAACAGCACGCAGTGCAGGATGGGACGCTCACATTTCAGTTCAAAATCATGAAGCAGCTCATCAATGTCATTATCCAGATCTTCACTCTGTGACAGCTAAAATCATCAAACAAGTCATACAATTCACCGGCATAGATATTGTGTCTTTAATGGACTCGGGTAAAGCCTGTACCTTGAATCTATTAGGATTTGTTGACACAACAAAGAAAAATAGATCCTTGAATGTGGCATTTTAAAGCATGTCAGATTTTAAATGTAAAATCAGTAAGCGTTGAAAAGTGTACATATGTATTTGCCTGCTCCATGGGCCTTCACATGCAGATACAGGTATTACTGGACAATGAAATTGCAGTTAGAAATTATTTTAACCTTTATTTTGTTAAATGCATGCCATATTAAAAAGTGTTTACTTTATTTTATGTTACATGCCAGTATTGTATATGATGAAAACTTACCACAGTCATGAGTTCACAGATCAAAAATGCCCCTAATGTGGCTTCTTCATGGTTATCTTGGATATCAATGTTGATTACATGGACTGAAGAATTGTCTGTCGGGGTTCGGCTTTCTAAAGCTGCGATGGAACAGTAATGCTAATACATATGAATTTGAATTTGTTGCAACACATTTCAATACACTGAAATTACTTTACAGTTAAATTATTTCAAGACTCATGCACTGCAACCAGTGGCAGAAATGTATATAAGATATGTCAGGATATAAAGAACTTATGGGTACCTTCAATAACTTGATCATATACTCGCTCTTCACAAGTAACAAGAATATCAAACTTATCTCTAGTAGCCTGGAAACGTTCTGGTCTGGGTTTAATTCGTTTATTTCTGTCTATCATGTGCAGTAGTCCATTTTGTGTATAGCTATTTAATAGTCAAAGAAAATAATTTGTATAACATGAATTATCACAACACATTAAAATTTATATAACAGCTGTATTTGAAACAACAAAGATGACAACGTAGAAGTGCAAAGGCAATATCGGATATTTCAGTTCTTCTGGAAAGGATACAAAGTCTTGTCTTTTACAAGAAGATCTTGATATATTTCGTCATATGTTATTCCAAACTCATAGCAATTTGGCTTGTCTGGGGCTGGTCCTGGTAGCTTCACTTTGTCTCCGGTGCCGTAAGACTCGACATGAAACCCCTTCTTACTACAAAAGAAATCATCAGTAGAGGTCGAAAAACGTACACCTAACCTTTCTATTCAACAGTGATATGCACTTGGCAATACCTTAAGAAAGCATGGGCTTCCATACTTCTGTTCATGTTACTTGAACATATGACAGCAACTTTCAAGCTGCTAGTCCCTGGCATTTTGCGTCTAGGTTAAAATGCGTTTCAATGCTACTAACGAGGCCAATAACTCCCTTAACCTAGTAATAACACATAAGACGTTCAAATTTAGTTACAGTTCTGCCCTATTATTTGTACCGTTATAAACATTAAATTAATTGTTTTACTGCCTGTAAATCTTTATGAATACTATCAGTTTGCGTAAATATTAATTGTAATTTGTAGGATCAGGTAAATTATCCAATTTTCTGTATACATGGCCTATAATGATTGTCAGTGCTGCCAAATTCCGGATATACGTTTCTGTGAATTGAAATTTTCCGTTTGTACACAGGAGAGGGAAATTACACAGATAACATCCCGAAGACCCATTTGTGCAATATGTAGTTTGGAAAATTCACCGTTATTGTTATGCTTGGGTCGTAGTTTAGTTGAAAAGGGCAAATTGCACATTTTGGCCAATTGCGGCTGTTATGTGCTCCGTATAATCTGTGCTTATGGATCAATAAGGCGACATTAAAATCAGTCTTCTGGTTCGTAACACCATGTGGATTTTGGTAGATCCAACTCTTCTGGTAGGACATTCCTACAAGATGTTGGTATCTGTTTTGCAACATGGCGTACAACTTGTAAAACTTAGATATTTTCTCAGCCAATGGATTATGAAATGTGTCCTATGGAAAAGTGAAAGAAAATAGTAAAGTTGTCCTAGCAACAAGGACCTCTGAAACGTTGATAAAATTCTACCAGACTACATGGTACTACAACACAGAAGGCTGATGTCTTCATACACCGCCGTGATAACCTTAATCCTATTTAATTATATGGTGTTCACCTTCCATCATATTGTTGGACTAGAAAGAATTATAAATTAATAAGTAGCTTTTGTGCTGAAGCATATAATGGCGTATAGGGGAGTGGAAGTAAAACTCTACAGTTTTTAAACTATTGATCAAGGTGAATTGACAGCTTGAAAATTAAGGCACTATTTCTGGCAGCAGAGCCTCTCAGTGCCAATTATGTTAGTCCCATTGTTGGTTTGTGCATGATATTGAAAGTAAAACCTCTGCCAGGTACTGAACCACAGTTGTGTAGCCTATGGCTAGTCACTTTACTGACAGCTATCCTGGCTAATCTAGGAGGATTATATAAAAACTGATCTTATGAAAATAGGGTTGATGGGTACTGTTGGAGATAACGACCGTTAGCCGGCTTGTATAGACCATAATTTCTTGACTAACAGAACTTCTCAAGGACACATGTCCATGTAATTGATTATTTAGTGACTCATTTACAGGTTTTATTTCTATTAGAGTGGATTAAAATACTTAAAATTTGCTGAATATAATCTCAACGTTTTTTGCATTATCATGTTTGTAATTGTTAACATATTAAACTTTTTATCTGTCTGCATACAAAATTTCATATGTAAATCTGGGATTTATTAGTAAGTTCTATTACCACAGATTTTAGAATCCGTAGTACAGATGTTGGTGTTGCTCCCATCTCACAGTTTCATGCATCCATTGTGTTGGTGTTATTGAAAGACATTGAACAGCACAAATCAGTGGTGGCCTCTGGTAGCATGATAGTTTGTATATATTTTCATTCATCATAACAAACTGTCAGGCATACCGCGTAGTCCCGACGCAAGACAAAGGCCCTTCTTATACTCCTTTGTGATGAATTTGATGAAGAAATGTATTTTCCTTAAAGTTATTTATAAAGTGTGGGGAAAATAAAACAATTTGATCCCCAAACAGTTATACATGTGTGGACTTTGGGAAATTTCTTGCAACTTTTAATGGTGTCACTGAAACATTGAGCCTATTTTCAATAGTAGAAGTCTGACCAAAGCATCAACTTTATTTTGCAATCCTTCATCAGTATGTTGAGCCATCCATATTAAAAAGATACAGGAATAAGTTTATCAGGATAATTGATCAGTATAGGAATGAGAAGAAAAAATTCTAAAATTTCACTAGGGATTAAAGGAGGAAATTTTGAGGGCATTTGTTAGGGCAACAGTAAGCAGGATGTAGACTACACAATCCACTTTTGCACTGCAACATGCCTGGTTCATACAGGAGCCTGCCACAGAACATGTTATTAATTCTTCTCCAATTTCATTGTAGACTGTAATAAGATTTCACTGACAAATTTTAGTTATGGACATGTAATATTGCAGTAGGGATTTACAATTTAAAATTTAATCAGTCAATACCCTCAATTGCTGCACCATGTAGTTTGGTTAACATTTACCAATATTCCAAAGGAGCTAGCTAACTGTATCATCATAGTGATGAGGCATCTTACTCTTTGTTATGATGATGAAGGCAGTAAGCACCTCTGAAAATTAATTAATATTTACTAGACTACATGGCATAAAATCCAACCCCAACATACTCATTACCACAAAAATCAGAAATCTCAACCTACATTGAGCCAGTTTTGTTGATATACGCAGGCAGACTTGACTTTCATATGTTCATTTTTTGCACTTTGTGCAGAAAATGGATAAAAGGGGAAGAAAAATGTGTACAGCTCATTATGTGATCATGCAACATTAATTTTGGTCTTGACTTATATCTAGAAAGAATTACCTGTGTTAGGGACACATTCAGAACCCTTGAGATTCCATTAAAATCAAGTTTTACCATCTTTTGCACTAGGTCCCATTTGGAATTATTCTACCAGTCCTGTCAACTACTATTTTTCACTCATTATTAAAGAGATCACCGATGTTCTGGAAGGGCACAAATCATTCCAAAAGCCCACCACTGCCACTTTAACAATAAAAACAACTCTGTACATTTGAACCCATTGTTTCTATTCATTTAATACTGATACACATTTGAAATACATGACTGTCATTGTGTATAGCAAGTATGCACTTATAGGAAAAGAGGACACATTTAGTATGAAAAAACAATACCATTCAAACCTACAGAGCAATGCCAAGTGATTAAACTTTGAAACATCTAACAACAAATGTTATGTTCAATATTTATACAAAAACAAAACAAGTAAGAACAAAGAAGAACTGTGGAAAACAATATACACTACACTGGCCATAGTTTAAATAATTTAGTTTGAGTACACAGTTGCTATTGTTTGATCTGTTTCTCACAATTAAATAGTATGTGCAGTAAATTACATTTTAAGAGTCTGATCCACTGACAAGAATGAAACACGTGTCTTCATGCAGCTTTGGCTGTCTGATTGTCTTTTACTTAAACAAGCACTGGTCACTGATGCAGCGGTAGAAGTACCATGAAGGCACAGTAAACTGTATTCAAGACAGTTCAGAATCGACGTGCACCTCCTCCATAGCCTCCCATGCCACCACCTGAATAAGGGCCCGGTCTTCCACCACCAAAACCGCCTCTAACAGGCCCTCCACCATAATTCTGCTGATAGCCACCATTAAAACTGTCATTGCCCCAACTGCCACCTCCACCACCTGGGCCCCACCCACCATCAGGCCCACCACAGTTGTCCCATGGGTCACCACTTCCCCATCCACCATCAGGCCCACCACAGTTGTCCCCACCATCAGGCCCACCACA